GGTTTGTGAAAATATATGTTCTTTTTAAAGCTTTCCTTTTTTCTCTCTTATTGAAAATTTCTTTTGATGGATTAATGCTGGCGAAATGGAACATGATTAACGATTATTACGTTGTGGAACTTAATAATTGTCGTTGTGCAGAATCAGTATGCAATTTGATCTTTTGTAACTAGGAACTCGTTTAAAAATTTCACACTTGCAATTTTGATTTTGCCCTAATTAATTTTATAAATAGAGAGTTGTCATTAAGATTTTAGTATAATTATAAAAAGAGAGAGATTAGAGGATATATAGTATGCGATTTTCCGTTGTAAACTTCTTTTAATCATTGTGAATTACTGCAAAGGTGAAAGATGATATGGTCTCACATTAAGGCAAACATCTAAAAATTTCTTACGTGTTCTTGTGTCTATTTTCTTTTTATGATAATATTTCTCTTGGTTGTAGAATTAGAATTTCTAACTATCAACAATGTGATTGCTAGATTATAGGGAAAAAAAAGATCAGGAAAAATGGAACGAAGGAAAAAGAAGTGGGAACAATTTCATAGCAAGACATAGACTAAAATGTCATAAAATAATTTCTAAAAAACTCTAACATGCGCGTTCTCTGTAATATTAAAACAGACGCTTAAATTAGAAAAATTAAAATGAATTGAAAACTTAAAACTAAAAATTGAAAATTGAAAAACAAACCAAACATGGCCTTATTTTTCTCAATAATTTTCAATGGGCATGAGATTCGTGGCTGGAAAAAATAACAAAAAAATATATATATATTTTAGGATAATAAATAAAGTCTTAATCTATCTTTTACATATTTGTTTGACTGATTGATTCAAATCTTGAGATTCTAATGACAAAGAAAACTACAAAATTGCTTGCTTACTTGGAGAGGGAACCACCCCTTTCAAGTCATCTGTGGCGAGAGAAGGTAGGACCGAGATGGACAATAGAAAGGAAAAAGAAGGGAGCAGAGTTGAGACATTATAAATTACTTTTGAATTCATGCATCTTGAGATTTTTTTTTTTTTTCAATAATTGTACATTATTAAATATGTACAAAATATAATAACATTCTTCTACTCACTTTAGTATCTACATAAAAGTAGACTGAATCAATAGAAGACTGTTAATGTGCAAAGGTGTTAGCTAATTAACAAGAATTATTCATGCGTTGAACGATACTACTTGTTAAAAGGAAGCAAGATATATGACACAATTTAATAGCAATCACAACAGAAGAAGAACACAAGAAATTTGGTAAATGAGAGAAAAATTCACACTAATGGAGAAAGAATACAATAATATCGTGTTTACAATATTTATGAAGAGCCAACTATACGTAGGATACATGGTCAATCCTAATTATAGTGTTAAAAATGGAAAGAACAAAAAAACACGTGGAATAAAGAAAATAATTTTCGATTGGAACACAGCGGCGCTCAAGAGCCAGTCTAGCGCTGAGCAGGCGGCACACCCGTAGCTCGAGCGACTGGTTGGCAGTGAGGGAGCGCCGGCTCCCTGCTTTGAGCGCTCGAGCGGGAGCTTGGCTCACAGTGAACGGGAAAAATGTAGAAATCATTCATTTGTCCATATTTTGATCTCTTCAAAACTCACTTTAACTATCCACCAAAATCCAATCGAATTTGAGTCAAACATCAACAAAAGGTGTGATTGAACTGAGCATGGCTCTACTAAATGAATCTCATCTATTGTTAATATTTAGGGTAAATTCGAGCGGTGCGTATATTGTCCAACTACTATTTGTTGTGCTTATATATTTTAACTTTTTAAAATTGTGATACTTATGTCTATTGCTAACTAAAAACATTTATTTGAATTGTGATACTCACTGATGTCAAACTTTGAATGTAAGATTGTCTAAAAATATTTCCTTTTATTTCACGTGTGTTTTTACTTTTTATAATAAGCTCAATTTCCATAGAGAGATTCTCAATTTTCAGCTGTAGGGACATTACATCACGAGAATTTTGTTGAGGAAAATACTGATTTTTGTATAAGAAAACGAAAATCACAAAATATGATAAATTCGATGCAACAAAATAAATAAAACAATAGAATACTTCCTTCTAGAGAGTCTTGTTGTGGATGCTGTCTTTGTTATTTTAAATAATTGGTATTTTGTATGTTTAGTTATTTATAATGAAAAATTTGTAAATAATCAATTTTAATCAGATATTTCATGAAATTCATAATTTTTCAATCACACATTTCATTAATGTTGATCAAAATTTATTTTCAAAAATTCTCTACCAAACGGGCATAATATATTTATACAAAAAAAAGTCGTACATAAATATACATGAAAATGGAGTAGGAAACGTGACATAGAATACATAATAAATGGTAGGTAAAACAACTAGATATTCATTTTATATTCTACCTTCAAGATTGTAACAAAACGTATATGTATCCATAATTGTGCATGATAGTTACGTAGGTTTGCAAGTACTCGTTTGTGTGTGTGTGTGTGTGTAATGTATATTGTTGCTTGTGCAGTGCCCTTCATTCAAAGAGATGGACAGTTGTTATTTATCAGAAAAAAATAGTTGTGCTGTCGTGAATCGTAACGAAGGCTGATAGAGATAGGGATAGAGAAAGAATTTGATGGTTGCTGTTATTGTGGGGGACGGTGGTGGGGAATGGTTAGGGTGGTGGGGGAGAGTCTTTTCCAAGAAAGAGAAAAAATACAAACAACTGTGGATGAAGTAACAGCTGAGAATGAGTGGAAGGCAGAAATATAGCCCTTGTTTGATTACCATTATTTTGATAAAATAAAGTTTTGAATAATAATTTTTAAATTAAATAGTTGTCAAACTATTTTTCGAAGGACGTATGTTTAAAAATAGAAAAATATTTTGGATTTACGCATAAAATATTTTATCGTGTAAATGTGATTGAAAATGAGTATGAAAATTAAAAAAATTTGAAATAATGATTGTCAAACAGGGATATAATAATATAATTTGGTCGACGATTTGTAAGTTAACAGGCATCATATCCGTTCATTTGAAATCAACGGTAAGGATCTTTTCAATACATACATTATCAACCAAGTTAACTAGCTTGATTCATAATATAATACTATATATTTGTTCTTTTTGCAGGGAAATGGTGGTTCTGAGTGGACAAATGCATATCTTTGGAGTCAGATTTTGTAGGATTTTAGAGGGCAATTTCAAGTCATTTTCATTTCTTTCGACACGGATGGAAACTTTTGCGGACCCTACTCTACTCATTGCTCCTAAGAATGTTTACACACATCACTAGAGTTATTCTTGTCTTGCTTTGAAATACAGGAACTGGATTCACACCCACATTCGTGTTATACCTTAGAAATGGTACACAGACCAAATCATGCGATTACCCTAACTTGATAGATACGTATATACACAGACTATTTGTGTTTGAACACAAAAAAAAAATTCTTAAGTTTCAAATTTATTTTTCCTACAAGAACGCGTCGAAAATATTATTTAAACGACTTTTTTTAAAATTATTTTCTCTACTGTCGACGATTTTTTTTGCTTTGTTGTAGAACTCTTTTAAATTTGTAGATCTTCTTCCGTCATTCTAGATTGTTGGTACTTTTTGTCCGGCCTCTCCCACGCTGTTTTATTAAATCAGAAAAGAATGGGTCAGTGAAGGTCTTTTCAAGAAGACCTTAATTAATGCAAAAAGCCATTTAAACGAAAAACCCTAAATTCCTAAACTTTTTTTTTTTCGCTTTGACAGCTCCTAAAAAAAAAAAAAAAAGGGTACATAAGCATCATTTGCTTTTCTATATTTAATGATTTGTCACTTTATTTATTAAAGGATAATTGGTTATGAAAATTATATCCTTTAGAGTACGTTTGATTGCAAAAATGAAATTTTGGTGGAAAGAAAATGAATTTCAGGGAATTAATTGTCTAAAACTTGTTTTAGTGAGAATTGTCAATTAATTGTTTTTTATTGCTATAATTTTTCACCTGAAAAATATTGAAATTTTGGATTTTTTTTTGTATTCGTTTTGACTTTTTTTTTCATTGATATTGTCTATTAAAGAAATATAATTTGTTATAATTTGGGGTAAAATTTGTTTCTATTACAAAAAAAAAAAAATTTAAAATAAATAAAAAGTTGTCTAGAAAAGTTTTTCCTTCCAAACTCATGGGAAAAGCTTTTCCTCAAAAACCAAGAAAATGTGGAAAACCAATTTCATAAAAAATTTAGTCAATCAAACATGCAAAAATGTGAAAATGAATTTTAATTTCCATCTTCCATAGAAAAGAAAGGGCAATCACACATGTCCTATATACATTCGTCATTTGTAAGAAATGAAACCAACAAAAGACTATTTCTTTGGGCTATATATCAATTATACAATTAATTCAATGTTTAAGACTTCTTCTGTTTTTATTTTCTGTAGAAGAACTTCTTGAGGAAGTAATCGTATAAATATTTTTTATTTTTGAAACTCGATTTTTTAGATAAGATATTCTCACATCGATGACAATTTCTTTTAATAATCTACTTATAAAACTTGAATATATAGATTCAATCTACTATCGAAGAACATCTCAAAGATTTCTAAACAAATGAATATTATTTTTTAATAGTTTAAACTTTTAAATTAATTTATCTTGACACATGGGCACAAAGAAACTTCAATAATGCTGGGTTACTATAATGCTGTGTTACACATGAGAGAGAGAGAGAGAAGACTGTAACTCTCTTTTAACTGTGCTAGGTAGACTCGGCAAGTCCAGACAAAGATAAGAAGAAACTCTCAATATATTCTTGAACAAACACAGGATAATATTCCATCCAGCGTTCAGCAGTTGACCGAAAAGAATACACTATTTTCATCCATTGATGCCATGAGACGACGCCCCCACACGTTGTACAGCCAACATGCAATAAATCGCTCCACTAAAAAGAACATCAGCAATTTCTTCAATCCACTATCAGTAATAATTTGATAAATTTCGAAGAATGGAAGGGGAGAGAGGGTTTCAACCCAATTATGATCAGCTTCAAACTTCCTTTTCTGCCGCTCCTCCTCCTTCTCATCATCATCCTCTACATCATGAAATGGGGTTTATACAGTTCGAAGATCAGAATCAGATGATGAGCTTTTTGGTACCCTCGCAATCTTCTCAAATATCTCAGCCTCTAGACGGCGGTGGTGGCAGCGGCCACCCCATTAAGACAACCAGCACCACCAGCAATAGAGTTTTTATAGGATTAGACAATAATGAACTTCTGAACTCTAGACCCTCATGGAATAACGACCAGGTAGTTTGGTTGGTCCAATAATGATATTAGTTTTGAATTCTTCCTTCTTATTATACTTTCTTAATTTATAAACTATTGCAGCTTTCTATAAGTTGAGGGTTGGTTCGTTTTGGTTAACATATTGATTTTTTGGTAACTTGACGATGTAGGTAGGAACACTAGATCTCAAGGCTGTTAATGATGAGAACTGCAGTGGTAACGCCAACGAGGGTGGCAATTCATGGTAATCTATCTTAACTCTCTCTCTCTCTGGATCTCTTCTTCTGCTTCTTCTTCTTTCGAGCTGGTGCGTCAAGTTTGCGTCTCTCTTCACACACAAATATACGGAACCCAGAATTCATTTTGATGTTTCCACTCAGAACTTGAGGGGATCCAGCTTATCGTAAAGGTTTTGTGGCTAGCTTTTCATTTGGTAGTGTTTTTGTTCCAAGGAAGTTTGCAAATAGGCATGCTTGTGTGTGTTCAATAACCCTAAAAAGCCAGACTCTTCAACTTTTAGCCAGAATCTACAGAGATCTACTATATATGGAAGAGATTCCTCACAGAAATCTCTCTCTACTCCTCTCTCTAGAAATATAGACATACACACAAATCCAGTGCACGATCATGTTCGTGCGTGTGTAGTGTAATGAACTGTGAAGGACAAGTGCTAGATCCACTACTTCTCTGTGCACTCATTCTATCAAGTACATAAGTGATATTGTAATGGAAAATTTGATCATTTTTCCGTTAATGTTGGTTAGTATGAGTTTTAGGCCTGAATATATTGGCAGTCAACATGTATAAATGGATAATTAACAGGTAAATTAATCCAAATATTGCAGGTGGAAGAGCCCATCTTCAGATAATAATGGCAAGGTCAAAGTGAGGAGAAAGCTAAGAGAGCCCAGATTCTGTTTTCAGACGAGGAGTGACGTGGATGTACTTGATGATGGTTACAAATGGAGAAAATATGGTCAGAAGGTTGTCAAGAACAGCCTTCATCCAAGGTATTGATTTCTTACCCCTAAAACTACATTTTCTGTTCGTNCTTACCCCTAAAACTACATTTTCTGGTGTTCGTCCGTTACATTTTAAAATCTTATCCGCTATAATAGTCTGGTTATGGTTATGGTCATGTCCAGTATTGTTTACCAAACGCATAGAGTGAGAATAGGGGAAATATAACTCCAATATTCATGATTTTTATTCTGCAAGTTATGAAAATTCACATAATGCGGATTTTCATTGCTGTGGAGATTGTTGCAATTGATGATGTAAAAAATGTAATGCATAACATGGTCTATAATTATTACCCTAGCTAGTGCGATCAGAAGTGGTGAAGAATGTTGAAAGTATACTGTTTCAGTTATGTTGGCTTCTGTGTCTCTCTCTCTCTCTCACTTTTAATTTCTCTCTTGAATATGAATGTGAAGTTTCTTAATTTCTTGTAGAAAGATGATAAAAGATTTTTTTTTTTTTTAATC